ATATAATCACTGCTGGATTTTTTTTCCTTTGTTTTTTTGTTTTTTTGATTTTTGTTTTGGCGGCTGGGCAGTCTGGGGGATCTGAACCCTAGATGTTGTTATCATAGTGCACTCTAACCAGCTGAGCTAACTGGACAGTCCTGTTTTTGTTTTTGAATAGCCCAGACATGAGTTTGTGTGGCAATTAGGGAAAGTCAGGCTGTTTATTTGCACGTGAGGTGTGAAACATGAAATTCAAGCAGTTTGGCACATTTGGGATATTGGAAATAAGAATCTTCTATGGCAGTGGCTGTAAATCTTACCTGCTGTTTAGCTCTACTCCACCTGAAACCTAAACTGCCAATTATTCACCATTCCTTTTAATACCCCAGTGCCACTTCAATACAATAATATTACTGTTGTGCCTTACTATGTAGCTAATGTATTCAGTATATTTACTGTGTGATAGGCACTGTACTACATTTATGTGGATTGTCTAATTCACAAAAATCCCTATGAGGTGCATGTTTTATCCTGTTTGTTTTTGTAAACAAGAAAACTGAGGCTGGAGAATTTAAGCAACTTGCCCCAAATTACACGTAAGTGGCAAAATCAGGTTCAGGTTTGGACTAAATATAAACTCCTAGCCCATTTTGCTACAACCCTTGTACTTTTTCAAAGTGTTTTCCATACCTTTAATTTTATGTACAAGAAAACTGAAGTCCAGCCTCTTGGTGTGCATAGCAGAGCTGGAATTAGTACCCAAATCTTTTATTCTAGAAATGTTTTTTAATATCACACACATGCAAAATTGGCACTGGGGATGCAGAAATGAAAGACAAGTTGCCTGTCCTTTTGGAGTTGATGGGATTGTGTGATGGTGGCAGTAACATCTCAGGGGGAGCACCCAACTCAGTCTTTCAAGAAAAAGCTTCCAGTTAAATCTTGAAGAAAGGGGCTAGAGTGGAGAAAAGAGGACATCCCAGGTAGGGGAACAGTCTGTGTGCTAAATTCCCTGACAACACGTGTTATTGGGGTTGCAAGAAGAGTGTTGTTTGGGAACTTTGGGGAGACTTGGTGGAAGAAATTGGCCTTGTGTTGGGGTCTTAGTGTTTGTAAAAGAACTCCCCTTGCCCCCAAGGGAATGCTTTAGAAGGGTAGAATGTTTGTGTACATTGAATAAAAGTAATATCATGCTAGTCTTATCTATATACTGGATCAGGATTTGATAGGAAAATTGCATTTCAGGTGATGGCTGGTGCAGGGAAGCTCAGGAAATACCTGTAAAACACACTCCAAAGCTTCTTGATTTAGCCTCAGGCAGTTTTTCTTCCAGAAGGGGAGAATTAGTAATTTAGGGATTCCTTCCTATCAGCCACTGTAGAAACACCATAGGAAGTAATGCGCATTACCTCTCTTAAACTCAACAATTTGAAGAGGTACAGGAGTATGTTAATTACACTCTACAAAAGGAAAAAAATGAAGGATTAAGTGAGTAGTCCAAGCCACTTAGCTTCGTGGTAGAGCAAGTATTTTAGCTCAGGTCAGTTCAACACCGGAGCTATGTATAATGGTAGGAAAAACCAGTATAAGTCTGTGACAAAGGAAAAGGAATCATACTGGAGGGGGAGCGGGGGCGAATCAGGATTATTTTAATTTTAAAGTTAAATATCTTTTCCTATTGTGCCGTTTTTGGAGGGAGTCTGGAACAGTGTTTATTAGGAGTGGGGTGAGGGAAAGGCATTGCTGTGATAGGCAGATGGAAGAAAAGGAAGACTATCCAATATGTAAACAAGTGACAGATGTGTGCAGGTGTGAGGTGTTGTGTATCTACACTCATATCTTATAGCAGTGATTCTCAAAGTGTGGTCTGGGGCCCCCAAGGCCCTTTCAGTGGGACTTGGAGGTCAAAATTGTTTTCATTATTTCTAATACGCTATTTGCCTTTTTCACTCTAATTTTATTACAAGTCTACCATGGAGTTTTCCCAGGCTATGTGCAGGCAGTGTTGCAACAGATTTAATGGAGAAACAGATGATGAGCTGTCTTTTGTTAAGCCAGACATTAAAGAGAATTGCAAAGATATAAAACAATGCCACCCTTCTCACTAATTTAAACATACTTTTTATAAAAATATTTATGTTGACATATAATGGGTATATTATTTTTAAATGTATTAATAAATCTAAAAATTTTTTCTTTGTTTTAATTTCTAGTGCAGTAAATATTAATAAATAAACCCACATTAACAAAAAAGCTCTTTGGAGTCCTAAATAACTTAAGATTGTAAAGGGGTCCTGAGACTAAAAAGTTTGACAACTTCTATATCAGCCACTACAGCCAACAGCCAGTATTTCTAACAATTATAATTGGAGGAGAGTGGGAGCATTTTTCTCTTCTCTGTCCTTACTCCTTCTCTGTGTTCATCCTGAGACTAAAAAGTTTGACAACTTCTATATCAGCCACTACAGCCAACAGCCAGTATTTCTAACAGTTATAATTGGAGGAGAGTGGGAGCATTTTTCTCTTCTCTGTCCTTACTCCTTCTCTGTGTTCCCTTCTTATACTGTGTGAGGGAGCTGTCTCCTACAGTCTATCTTATTTATACCACTTACCTGGAACTGAATGACAGCAGTTTCAATTTTAAGTTGAATTAAGATTTAAAAACAATGTTTAGTTCTAGGATCAGCTGAATGCTTCAGTTGCCTGGGTCTTACTGATTTTTGCCTTACAGAGTTAGAAATATTCAGAGCTTTCTTAATCTGCATTGGTTAATATAATTCGACTTTAAGCTTAAACCATAAGAACCCAGGTTAGATACAGAATTTCAGTAAAGAACAGATGTAAACATTGGCGGAGGGAGTACGATTTGTTATAGTAGGTATTTTGGGGGAGGCAGGTTCCAAGAATGGGTGGTTTTCATTTAGACAGCCAGTGATTGCGTTCTTTCACCATCTGTGCTAAGTACACGCAGATAAAATGAGGCTGAGATTAAAAATGGTTGCATGATTTTTTTCCAGAATAACATCTAGCTGCATTTATTAGTTAACTCTTTAAAACCAGCAAGTCAGCCTTCTCCTTGACACCAACAAGGGAGTAACACTAGTTATCTGAAGCTTATATTGATCCTTTGATCTAAATGGCTATTACTACAAAATTGTTTTTCCCCCACAGTGCCTTATATTGAAGGAGGAGCCTCGGCCATAATGCCAGTTGATGAATACTGGCTGTGCTTACCAGCCTCTCATATTAGACCTTTTGTGCAGACTGTCAGGGTGGTGCGGTCTCATCCCCACCATTGCTGGTCTCTGGGTGTTCTCCCTTCAGTCCCCGCACCACTGTGCATGCCCACCGTGCTGCCAAGCACCAACCACAGCGCTGTGCTTCCTCCTGCACATTCCTCCACTGCACCCCCTTCCACATTCCAAGCACCCTGTTCTTCTGCTGACCCCAACCTCTGCCTTTCACCCCCTCCACCTGATGGTAGGCAGGAGTCTGGGCTGGTAAGTGTGGGGGCTTTTTTGATTAAAGTTAAGACTTGATTTTTTAAAAAACATTGTATTGTGCTTGTTAACTTTTCTAATCATTAACTCTTGTTTGCCATGTTTTTATTAATATAAGGTAATATTAAATATATCACCAAACAGTGTTCCAAACCAATATGAAATATAACTGTGTATAAAAACTAGTGGAATGAAAGGATTTTTTAAAAAAGTCTAACACCTAAATTATAAATCCTGTTACATGCCAAGCAAATGGGAACTAAATATAATATAGAAACTTCATGCATATGCAGATTAAAGGAATGAGTTTTACTGAGTCCTTATTTAAAATGCCTTGCAAAAGCAGCTACATATACATTTAACTTTTCATGTAGGCCAATTAATGATTTTGTCTGCATTTTGAGATTTTGTGCCTTGGGTAAACAGTATAGAAAAGTTTTAAATATTCAGTGTATCTCTTAAAATTGCTATATTGAGTGTATTAGTCCATTTCTGTTGCTTATAAGAAAATACTTGGAACTGGGAAATTTATAAGAAAACAAAACTTATTGCTTATAATTTCAGAGGATGGGAAGTCCATAGTCCAGGGAACACATCTTGGTGGTGGTGACAGCAACCCAGGGGTCTCACATGGCATAAAATGGCAGAGCAGAGAGAGAGAGACAGTTTCTCATTTGCTTTCCTTTTAAAGCTCTCGGAACCATGCCTCTGACCACCATTATTAATCCATTCACTGTGGCACAATCCAATCACCTCTTCAAGGCCTCACCTTTCAATTACCATAACAGGATTTCCCACCCTCAGCAGTTACAATGGGAATAAAGCTTCTAATATATGAACTTTGGGGAGACAATTCAATCAATTCACAGCATTGAGATTATTAGCTGTGCCCATATTTACCAAGCTGCTATCTTAGTCTGAGACCTTTACCCACTCATTCTACTTTTAACTAGAAAGTAAAGAGGATTGCTAAACTATATTGATGGTTCCATTAAAAACATACTAATGCTTGTAAAAATCTAATTTAAAAATCTAGTTTTAAAATTCCAAAGAAAAAGGACCGTTGATCAAATTTAATTCAGTCCTGAGTTGATTTTCTTGGGCTGTCAGGATGTTACTAACATTGAGGTACTATGTAAAAATCTAATTTAAAAATCTAGTTTTAAAATTCCAAAGAAAAAGGACCATTGATCAAACTTAATTCAGTCCTGAGTTGATTTTCTTGGGCTGTCAGGATGTTACTAACATTGAGGTACTATGTGAACACTTCAAAATAGTTCATTGTGATGTGCAAAGGCATTAGGACATAGTCCTCAGGGATTATAACTGAAAAGAAAGCAAATTACTGATCACCACTTGAAGGAAGGTTGAATATTTTTCTATTTGTATATTGTAATGTAAACATTTTTTCTTTGAAAATTCCTTTTGCTTTTCTTTAAAGAAAGGTTTTCTTACAAAACATTTTGGGTATTGCAGCTTTTAAGTTAAATTATTTTCCCTTCCATTGTTTTTCTGTAGGCATATAAGGAGGGGAGACTTGAAAAGCTATTGAAAATGAATGGCTCTGAGGATCTTCCTGAGTCCTATGACTATGACCTTATCATCATTGGAGGTGGCTCAGGAGGACTGGCAGCTGCTAAGGCAAGGCTCTTTGTGTTGTGTGTTATCTGGATTATGGTTAGAATATTCACATCCCTGACAGATTTTTCCAAGTTCTCTTGGAATTTATTTGATCCACTCCTGTGACATTTTGCACATTAACTTGGGCAGGACATGTTAAGGAACAACTTTCTCAATCATTTTTCCATATTGAGATATGTTTTTTACATAAAGGTGTAAGGCCTAGTATTTCGGGCCAGTATCGTTCATTTTAAGTTTGGTTGATTTTTCAAGATAGTAAGGGTGTTGTGTGGAAATGGCTTGTAATTAAACAAATATGTATCTTACTCTTTATAAATATTAATATGTGGTTTTTCACTTTTATTTCCTTATTCACAACCTCTCCTGCCCAATAGAAAGATGGAGAGCAGTTGGATTTCTTTAACTTATTTACTAAAAATGATTTGCCACCTGTGTGTATGATGTAATTAAAAGAATTGTCACTAACTCTTTGGCCTGGGGGTGATTGGGAAGAGGACGTGTACATGAGGAGGTTAGGAGTGAGGCTCTCAGCCCTGAAATGAGATGTTTTCCGTGTGAGGAGCCCTTAGGCCTGTCATCCTTACCCAACAGGTTCTTGTAAAAGATGATGTGGTTATACTCCCCTGAGTTATAGCTTGTAGTGAAATCAGTAAAGGTAGATTCAAATGAAGCTGTCCAAATTAGGAGCAGGCCAGTATTTAACATGAAGCAGTGCTTTGCTGAAAGTGATCTAGGAGTAATACCGGATGTATTTTACTCTAGTGATGGTGTGTTTTAAGGACACATAGACTTAGTCTTTTTGAATAACCTACGGAGGTCTAGTTGTCAGTACACAAAGCTTATTCTCTGAGAAAAATAAAAGATAATCTGTAAAGTAAACTTCTGACTATTGTCTGTGCTCCTCTAAAATAGATTTGGAAACCTCAGAGATTATCGTCAACTTTTTCATGGGCTCCTCACATGAAAATTTTAGGAAATCTGACAATTTCAGAAGAAAAACTTCTCCAGTATTCTGCCTTAGAAATTGTGTTAGATAAATCTCAGGAATACTTTTAAAAATATCACCTTTATAGGTAGGGTACAGGTTGAGTCAAGGGCTGTAGACGTCAGTAAACCCGGTTTACTAGTTACTTACCAATTGCTTAGAAATATCACATTTTCCCCCCCAGATTATTGCTTACTCTGTTATTTGAGTGGAATTATTTAATTAAGGGTTCCAGCTGATTCTAATAATTTTACAACTGTAATCTGCATAATCGTTAAAGCTACTCTCACAACCATCTGAATATCTCTTAATTTTTATCCTGAAGTTGAACTAATTATCATGATATAAAATTCCTAGATACCAATAACTGGTTACGCTTTAGGCATTATAGCTTAGTAAAAACTGCATGGAGTTTAACAGCCCATTTCCAATCTATTATGTTAACTTTTCCAATTCATTTTAATAATTTTATTTTCCAGGAGGCAGCCAAATATGGCAAGAAGGTGATGGTCCTGGATTTTGTCACTCCAACCCCTCTTGGAACTAGATGGGGTAAGCTTTTAAAATATTTTAGAAGTGGTTTTATAGAAACAGGATTTTCCCTGGCACTGATCAAAATGGCTCCTAAAACCCAATAAAAAATTCAATTAAAAAAATAAAAACAAAAACATATACCTCTTTCACTTGTACTAAGTTAAAATTGGACTCAGGTTATATGCTAAAAATTTAAGTTCTTTGACACAGAGTCAAGATAGTAAAAAGCCTTATCCACAAGCTATGATTTAAAGCTAAATATTTGAGTAATTTAGTATACTTAGGGACTTAATAACCGAAAATTTAAACTTTTCATCTGTGTATTTGTTTTAAATCCACCTCCTACTGGAATCAGATATCTTAATGGATAACCCTTGCTGCTTCTGAGTCTTGGTAAATTATATGTTCATATACATTTATTCAAAAAAATTTGTCGAATACTTATTATAAACCAGGGCCATGGGATGTAGCAGTATAAACACAGTACATAAGAAGTTCCTGCCCTGTGGAGCTTACATTCTAGTGGGGAGACAAAAGATAAGCAATAACTTTATGAATCATGGTAAATGGTACTGAAAAAAATTGTATAGTGGGATAAAGAGGAATTGGGTAAAGGAGAGAGTTTAACTTTGAGAAGACTATCAGTATCAAGGAAGGTTTTTGAAGAGGTGGCATTTAGATGAGGCCTGAAGAATGAGAATGAGCCAACTGTGCCAAAAGCTCAGGGTAGAACCTTCCAGACAGCTTTTCTCTGTCTTTCTCAGTACTGCACATACAAAGGTCCTGAGGTAGATAAGAATCCTTCAAGGTTGTGGCATGGGTAGTGGAAGCTGGAGGCACTAGTATGAGGTAAGACCGGAGAGGAAGAAGGCAGGTGTCAGACTGTACGGGACCTTGTAGGCCAAGATGAGGAATTTGAATGAATCAAAGTGTAGTGGGAAGCCTTTGAGGGGCTTAAAGTAGGGGAGTGATATGTGTAAATTTATAAAGATTACTTGACTGCTTGCATTAGAAGGAGGCAAGAAGCAGGAAGTCCAGATAAGGTGGTGTCACAATTTCTAATTCATTGATTCAGCGAATATTAAGTGTCAATTCTGTCAGGTACTAGGTATATCCCTTGGGTGCTAGGTATATCCCTTCTGCCCTGTTGAGCTTACACTCCACAGTGACGATCTGGTAGTATTCCCCTCAGAGGATTTAACTTTTGAGGTGTGACGTGTAGTGTCATCTTGCACTCCTTCTCGTGTCATTTTGGCCACCTCCCCATCTGCCTGCATTTTGTTCTAATGGAAACAAGCTATCATCATGTTCTTTAACCTTAGGGATGCTACACTTTTGTGGGGGCAGTCATGAGTACTTTGGAGAATCAAGAGAAAACTGTAGGCCTGTATTAGTAAGGGTTCTCCAGAGAGACAGACTCAATAGGATATATTATAAATATATGAAGGAATTTATTAGGGGAGTTAGCTCACGTGATTGTGAAGAGAAGTCTCACAATAGGCCATCTGCAAACTGGATGTGGGTAGCGTGGCTCAATCCAAGTCCGAAGGCCTCGAAACCAGGGGAGCTGATGTGTTTTTGGCATAAGTCCTGGAACCCAAAAGCTGAAGAGTCTTGAGCTCTGATGTTTAGGGACAAGAGAGAAGAGTGCATCCCAGCTCCAGGGGATAGAGAGAGGGAGATTTGCCTTTTAAAGGCCTCGAAACCAGGGGAGCTGATGTGTTTTTGGCATAAGTCCTGGAACCCAAAAGCTGAAGAGTCTTGAGCTCTGATGTTCAGGGACAAGAGAGAAGAGTGCATCCCAGCTCCAGGGGATAGAGAGAGGGAGATTTGCCTTTTTAAAATTTTTTACGCTCTCCGGGCCACCAGTGGATTGGATGGTTCCACCCATATTGAGGGTGGATCTTTCCCACCCAGTCCACTCAGGTTCTCATGCTAATCTCTTCTGGAAACACCCTCAGGGACACACCTAGAAATATAGCTTTACCAGATTTCTCAGCATTCCTCAATCTAATCAAAATGACACCTAGAATTAATCTTCACAGCCACCTCCCTAAAAAAAGTACACATATGCCACATTTTATGTTTAGTTTCAGACCCACTGCAATCTAACCATGCCCAGCATGACAACCCCTTTATCATGTAGCTCTATACATAGATTCAATGGCAAGTACAGGGTTGTGCACATAATAAATTATTATTTTCTGGTGTCTCTATCAGTAATCAATTTTGAATTTTTTGAAGTATATGAAAATTGTGGAAATCTGCCTCTTTTTGTTTTGTTTTAGGATGACGTTACTGTGTTGTTACATAAGGCTCTCCAAACTTAGAAATGTCACAAGACTTAGGAACAAACTTATATAAACAGTATTGCCATGTTTAGCAAACAAAATATGATGTTTCATAGAATTATAATAATCCTTGACCTTTTTCTCTGAATGCTGTGAATCAGGCTATAAATCGATTTCTCAATGTTGTAGGTCTTGGAGGAACATGTGTGAATGTGGGTTGCATACCTAAAAAACTGATGCATCAAGCAGCCTTGTTAGGGCAAGCCATACAAGACTCTCGCAACTTTGGATGGAATGTCGAGGAGACAGGTATGTAAGGAAAAAGCTACTCTTCTATTTGTGCTTTTGGGGGGTTTGAGCTGTGATCTTGCAGTGCACCATCCATTTTTACAAGGCTGGCAAAAACCCTGGAAGTTGTTTTTTGTCGTTTACATTTTTTTATGGATAAATCTTTGTCAGGTAGCTACATAGTTATTACAGTAACAACAGATACTGCACTTGAGTATGGTATTTCTATAATATAAAACCAGAATTCTTTCAAATAAATTCTCATACAGCATTTGTAAAAAATTGTACAGTGTTTATAATTTGTGAGGAAGTACAAATTACATTTACTTTCTTTTGAAGCTGTTGCATTTTTTTCTCCAAAGAAGCCTTTTACACGAGCTGATATTGGATTGGGGGGGATTATTTGCTGAGGAGAGGCTGGTTAGACTTTGTTGAATTAAAAATATTTAGAGTACCCTAGAAAGCCTAGACAAGCTGAAGAAGGAATTGTTAACTTTAGAAAGTAGGTTGCATTATCTGGTAGAAGAATGAAGTGAGGCCTCGCACAGCTTCATGCCTGATTAGTGAATTAAGCTGCTCTGTCCTTGAAGATTGAAACCCCAAACCCTATCTGATTTTAGTTTCGAGATCTATTAGGTGTGGAGCTTCTGAGGCAATATCTTCTAGCAGTAGCTAGGGATAAACTCTTTTGTGGCATTTTTGGAGTTTTAATTAATAGTTTATTAAGTATAAAAGCATGGCATTAAATACGTGCTTTGAAAAATTTTGCTCTCTCTCAAACTAGTCATGCCTACTTTGTCGATACTTTTACTTGCCATTTAAAATCAACAGTAATTGTTCAAGTCTAGAATCTTAGAAAATAAGTTACTTTTAAAGTTTTCTTATGTTGGGATCACTATCTCTGTTTCTTCAGACCCTTACAAGAGAGAAAGAGAGATATGAAAAAAGATTTGGTAAAGTGTTGGTTGTTATTGCATTTAGATGACACAAGTTATATAGTATTCTATTCCATTCCTGGTAGAGAGACATTGAATCCTGTCTTTTCTTTTTATGGTGGTGGTTGACCGAAGGCAGGCAGGCAGGCTGGTCCAGGCTCCCTGCAGTGCTCCCCAGCCCAAGCACCTAGTCCTCTCCACACTACAGCCACAGTAACTATTTTTTTTTTTTTTGATTGAACTGATCTCTTAAGGTTTGTTCTAGTTCTAACATTTTATGGTTGTATGAATTGAATGTCCATGATCTATTCTCTAGGAGGCCACAAACCAATTTTTGCGCTGTCATTTCCACATTCAGAGGCTGGCCATTGGGTGTCATAAACCTGGTTTCACCACTTACTGTGTGGCTAGGCTACACTTAACCACTGAATCTGAAACTCAGATTTCTCATTTCCATGAGAGGCTTTCAGTACGTGT